AGCACTCAAAACACAACCAAAGACTAAGCAACAGGAACAACACCAAAAAAAAAACCCCAAGAAAACCAAACAAGGATAATCTTAGGTGCTTTAGCAAGATACTCTTTCTTTTTGTCTTTGATAAGGTTCTGTATAAATTCTGCTTCAAATAAATACAAAAACAAGTATGCAAATTAAAACAAGATGATAATTTATCGTTATTAAAAAAAGCTAAATTCGTTTGCAGTCAATTTAGATCTGTTCAGTTGTTGTTATTATAACATGTTAACATCACCAACATACTGAAATGTCTGAAAAGCTACCATACAGTACTGAATTGACTGCAAGCGAATTGTTTCAACATAACTGAATTTACCCCAGTCAATAAGTGTGAAAATTGACTGAATGACTGAAAGACCAGGAATACAGTTTTATTTGTTTAGGATGAGCATGCAATAAGTACCGTAACAAAATTTTTGCCAAAGTTTTACCCAACTTTCAATATCATTAACATTCAAAAAACAAAGCACAGACGTTATAAGATAATACGTTATTTAGTTTCGAGATACTACAATCTAATATTCATTCACAAATAATCAGTTTTACTCTTTGAACTCACCGAATATAAAATGCTTACACCGTTGATTGAAGAAAATTGACCCATATATATACAAAGAAAAAGTTAAGTACCCCAAGGTTTTTTGAAATGACAAATGATACGATAAGTGTCATGACTTTACGGAAATAATAGCAAAAATGCAAATGTGGCCTGTAATGACATTACAATAGCTCTAAGAAAACACGTAAAATATCAACAGAAATGATATTTCAATAAATATATTATCACAAAGTCACAAAGCCCAGCTATTACAATTAAACATGTAAATTTTAAATATCATTCATCTTTTGAGTTCATAATGCCCGATAAGATTTCATTTCACTTGGGAAACGTCAATCGTAAGTCACTTAACAACATCCATGGTTCATAATTTTAAATCGAGTAAAACCACAACGTGCTTAGATGACGGCCTCAACCCTGCATCTCTTCCCTACAGTCAGTTGTCGGATTTCCTGCAGTGGAATCTGTCGTCAGTCTCGGTGCAATTTTTGCTTCAAACTGACTTAATTTTGTAAAGGAGATTGGAATGCCTGTAAACGACGGCCTAACATGTGCTAAACATGCTCAGAACCTCAACTGTAAGGGACAGTTGGTTGGATGTTCCTTGGGGTATATTCGGATTTAAATTGAAATTCGTGGTACCATGCTATAATTCAATATATCAAGGGGTGCCTTATTTTTTTCTTTGTGTAAATATCCATGTTGTTATAATTTATAAAATCAAATCAATCACCTGATTGTAAAGCGTGTACTCGTTTATGATAAGCTTATTACCTATATTTTGGTATTTTCACATTTAATTTTTTTTAACAATGAATATTAATTCATTGATCAAAAAAATATTTCACCTTTACGTAGATTTTTTTTTTAATGAAACAGATGATGCCTTTTCGCGACATGCAAAAGATTTCTTAACCCAATATCAATAGTTTTCTTTAATTTTTTGTCGGTAGGAAAAATAATCACATCCATTTTCTCAGTCTATAATTGGGTGGCATATCAAGAAGTTTGTGCATGCTTTATTTAACTTCGCGAATAAGGAGTCAAACTTGATTAAATTGATTGTGCAAATAGTTCATTTTTGTTCCCATTTCATTGATATAAATTAGATATTTTAAAATATTTTCACCATATATTACATTATATAAGTCCAAAATTTATGGCAGTCTATATGGTTTTAATAACACATAAAAAACCAAAAAGAATTGAAGTGGAGGAAAAAAAACTTGTTAAATATGCAACAAATATAAAGTTTTTTTTCAATTAAGTGGAAATGATTTGTTGTAAAAAATGTTGTAAATGACAATTTCCCAGAATTGAAAAAAGAATAAAATCCAAATGTCTTTTTTCGTTTCTGAATAATGGCACCCAAAAAAAAAATCCCCAGAAACAAACCAATTTTTGTTATTCGTTTTTGTAACAAAGAAAATCAGAATATCGAAAATACTTTCGTTTTTCGTTTGTTGTTTGTTTGTCAAGATGATGAACGGACGAGTATATATACTGAACCATGTTGTATATTTTTTTTTAATATTCTACATTCAGCATGACCATGCGAATTCATTCTCAGTAAAAATATGACAATCATGGAAATACACAATCGATAAATTAACAGATCAAACGACTGTTGTATTCTGGTTTCAAAAGATGTAAGCCGCTTGGAAGGTGAGACGAAGTCATATCGTTTCAGCAAGCAATACGTCATGATATCCTAAAAAGTTATGTAGGGTCGATTTCAGTTTTTTTTATTGGAAGATTATAAACAAATAATAGGTAAGACGATTTGCACAGTCCCTTCACTGAAAGTATGTGACGTACTTGTGTGTAAAATAGTTTATAAAAAAGTTTTACAATTCAACAGTAGGCAAACACCTAAATCATATCAAGGCAGATACAAGGACGATGAATTCATTATATTCAATAAATAATCAATTGAAATTGAATACTTTTTTCGCCTTACAGATGATTAAAATGACTTACGGATGCTCATCTATGAAATCTCAAAAAATCAACTATTGTTCTCATACATTGATTTTTGAAGGTCAATGATTTACAGCCTACGATATTCTTAATCTTCAAAAGCATTTTTTGGAACAATTTTTTTCTCTATCTGCATAAAAATGTCTGTCACTCCCAAAATATATTCCGAAGCTATATTTAAGGTGAGAAATACGGTAGATAAGAAATATAAGTAACCATAACAAATAGAACTACACTATCTTACTAATTTCAAAAGAATTTTTTTAAAATACATTTTGATAACAGCGAATTAAATATTAGTATTACATTGTTTAATCAATTAACTGTGCTTGATTACTGCAGCATAGAATCTTAAAGACAATTTTTGACCAGTTTTGATCACAAAGTTATACGTAAAATAAAAACTTATATTATGTAACACTGACATTTATCGCAGTATGTTAAATAATGTGCACATGTTTTTAATGTTGTAACAATCGTTACAAATCTAAAAGACATACATACTGTAACAAAATTATTAGAATAGACTATTAGATTAATGTGACAGTTTTCATTTAAGAGATCTGATTATGGCAGATCTGTCATAATTTCTATGGATGACAAATTTAAACATAAACATACTGAAAAGTAAAATAATAAAACGCTCCAAGAAAAATTTAAAATGGAAAGTCCCCTATCGAATGGCAAAATCAAAAGCTCAAACACATCAAACGAATGGAAAACAAGTGTCATAATCCTGACTTGGTACAGGCATTTCCTTATGTAGAAAATGGTGGATTAAACTTGATTTTGTAGCTAGCTTAACCTCACAAATGCATGGCAGTCGCATAAAATTCCATTATATTGACAACAATGTGTGAACAAAACAAACAGACATAATGGGTAAACATGTAAAAAATAGGGGTACAGCAGTCAGCATTTTGTTATAATCTTAATCACTATAAAAAAAAAAAAATATGTCAACAAAGAAAAACAAAATAGCATATAAACAAAGCACATAAACAAAAAAGAAAGACATGAATACAAAAAATAACCATAGCACAATAACACAATAGCGGGATGTATAAGTACCGAGCCACGCCAAAAGTATATTACCGAAAATAGATGAAACATAATAAATAATTTACAAAAAAAAAATAAAGATCAATAACACGTAATTGAGATGATAAACAACGTCAGTACCTAGAATCTATACTTCAAGACCATCATGTATTATTTTTGAAGTTGATACGGAATATTTTTCAAGAAGGTCTTGGTATCCTCCGATGAACTTTTTTAGAAAAAGGACGAGACGTTCTTTGACATAAGCCTGGTTCATCATCGTTCTGCTCAGACACTGGTGACGTTTTATAAAGTCTGAGTAGCAGCTGCAAGCTCTATAATACCGAATGAGTTGGGAAATGTATATCCCATATGCTACTAAGGTGAGGGAAATTGATAATTTCATAATTAAAATCGTCTCGTTTGTCATAGATTCTGGTACTGAGGTGACCGTTTATGTCAAAATCGAGGTATACGTCTAAAAATGAGGAGGAGGAAGCCGTGTCTGCTATTTCTTTAATTTCTAGTTCTTGTAGATATATGAATAATTTGTATACTAGTACTTATTTATATCAAAGTAACGAATATTAAAATGCCCATAACAGAAGCTTTGACTGCCGAAACATACAAGTGCTTCATCCTTTCAGGTACTATGAGATATATGGTTGTTTGGGTATTTTATTATACTGCCAACCGATCCCGCTTCATTTGGAAGTCCTATAATTACCGCAGCGCTGTTTTTTTTTACTAGGTGGATGTATTCAAAATTGAACATTAGTAAAAAGAGGCGAAAGATACCAAAGGGACATTCAAACTCATAAGTCGAAAATAAACTGACAACGCCATGGCTAAAAAAAAAAAAGACAAACAACAGTACACAAAAAACAACATAGAAAACTAAAGACTGATCAACACGATCCCAACCAAAAAACTGGGGATGATCTCAGGTGCTCCGGAAGGGTAAGCAGATCCTGCTCGACATGTGGCACCCGTAGTGTTGATCATGTTAGTACAAACCCGGTAGTAAGTTTAATTCTGTAGGTCACATTCGGGGAAAAGGGGAGGGTATTGTAGTTACGACATTTGGAACACATCCACTATCATCTGTGAAACGGATATTTCATAACGGTCAACCAACTCGTGATGGCATCGGAAAATACTTTTGCTCCTTTTATAAACGGTGTCCAGAACGGAGAAGAGAGCTGTAATGAATGTAATGCATAGCATTTTTGTTGTTCCTTTGTGTCAAAAATATATCGTCATTGCATTAAACATGTGAGCTTCAGTACCCCAAGCTTTTCTGTTACCAACACACGGGTATCGGTATAAAATATACCAATTAGTTTAATATTTAACTACAAGTATTTTTTCTCTCTTTCAGTCCGAATTATTGCCATTGTATCCACTGGCTGCAGCATTCACATTCAATGTATCTTTTTTCATAACGGACTGGGGAGTTTCAGGAGTAGAACCACTACTAACAAGTCAATACATTAAAAGAACAAGTCCTCGATATGAACGGTTTAAAACTATGTACATCCCAAAAAGAACTCAAGATGTGAACACACATTATGTCCATTCAAAACCTGGATACAAAAGGTATGTTTCATATATTAAATCCTCGAAAACATTTAAGGTAATATTTAAAAAGGGGCAAAAGATATGAATTGGATATTCAAGCTCATAAGTCGAAAAAAAACTGACAATACCATGACAAAACAACGAAAAACGACAAAAAGACTAATAATGATACACAAAACACAACATAGAAAACTAGACTGAGCAACACTAACCCTACCAAAAATCGGGGGTGATCTCAGGTGCTCAGAAAGGGCAATTATATCCTGATCCACATGTGGTATCCGTCATGTTGCTCATGTAAGTAAAAATCCGATAATAATTCTAATTCGGTAGGTCACATTCGAGAAAAAGAGGCCGGGATTAATGTAATAAGTTGTACATATCCGTGAAACAAATATTCCATAACGGTTAACCAACTTGTGATGACGTCCGTACAAGTTTTGAAGGGATGATTTCAACTTCACTAATTGGAACTTTTGATTCAATAGCTTCCTTGTAAGCAGCAGTCCTCTATCAACGAAAGCATGATAGGAAACGCATGCTCTGGAATATCATATCAACTGAAAGATATATACTCTATATGCAGGTGCTGCTAGATTTTAGCTACATGGAAATGGAAAGTTCTCAATTGGGAAGCTGAAATCATCTCTTTTGTCGAAAAGTTTTGTTCCCAACCGACCCTCATTGTCAAATTCTAAATTTAAGTTAAGATATGAGGCAGACTTAACTATATCTGTGGTATCATTTATTTCAAGTTCGATGGGATAGGTGCGTTCTACATAGTCACCAAAATTTGAATTGTTTAGTGAGAGGACATCATCTACATATTGGAACGTGAAGTAAAAGGATATATACTGCTAGCTTCTTTACATTCTCCATAAGAGCTCCTGTATGAAGCCATGTTTTAAGCCATGTAATTAGGAAAAAACATTGAAAATTTGAAAATCCAATAAAATAACAAAATCAGGCTGTATTTGTAAATGCTCTTTTGTTCCGACGTTGGAAAGTTCCGGGCGGAAAGAACTAACAAGCCGAAAAGTTCCGGAGGAACTTATTAACTAGTTACTTTGTTCTTCCTCTGGTTTAAAAGTTCCAGCGGAACAAAGTGACTAGTTGAAAAGTTCCAACGGAACATATCAACTAGTTAGAAAGTTCCTTTTTTCCAAATTAGTCAAAACCAGAACTAACAAACTAGCCCAAAAGTTCCAACGGAACTTATCAACCAGGCAGAAAGTTCCATTTGGAGAATTGATGCAACGTAAAAGCGCAACATATTATATTTGAACCTTTCTAAGGGAAACCAAGATACTGATTACAAAAGTCAAAAGGAACTTATCAAATAGCCACAAAGTTCCTCTTTGGCAAATAAGTCAAAACCGGAACTAACAAACTAGCCCAAAAGTTCCAACGGAACTTATCAACCAGTCACAAAAATCCATTTGGAGAATTGATGCAAAGAACCACATGAGGAGGGGGTTATTCTTCCCTCTCTTTAGGGTACTATGAATACTAAATTTGCATGCTAATGCAACTTATTCCGTTTTATGTGAGCTATGAAATACAACTTAAATTTTGCATATTTGTCCCCAAAGAAACCCCTTTCAGTGCGTTGGGTATTCTTGTAAATAAATGATTTGCTCTTATATATACTGATACGAAATAACTAGTTGAAAAGTTCCGCCGGAACAAAGTAACTGACGGAACATAGTGGCTGTTTCATATTTACTTGATATTAACCAATAATACAAAGCAACTTTGTCAGCACGTTTTATGATTTCTTTTTATATTCAATTATATGTAATGATAAAAAAATATACAGAAACTGAATTTATTACTGGGATGAAACTATAGTTACAAGAGTTGACATATTGTTCATAGGCCTTCAAAGCCTTTACATAATACGTAACATTTCAAATGATTTATACCAAGAACATAAGAACAAGTTAATATGTGCGACGCTTTAGTACAAAAACACGAAGCTTGTTTCTTTACTATTATGGGGCTGACTTCATACGGGAACTTCTTAGGAAGAAAGATAAGAAGTTAGCAATATCCTTTAACTTTACGTTCCGCTATATAGATGATGTTCTCTCACTAAATAATACAAAATTTGGTGACTATGTTGAACGAATCTATCCCATCGAACTGGAGATAAAGGATACTACAGATTCAGTTAAGTCTGCCTCATATCTTGACTTACATCTAGAAATTGACAATGAGGGTCGGTTGAAAACAAAACTTTACGACAAAAGAGATGATTTCGGCTTCCCAATTGTGAACTTTCCATTTCTATGTAGCAACATTCCAGCAGCGCCTGCATACGGAGTATATATCTCCCAATTGATACGATATTTACGGGCTTGTATTTCATATCATGATTTCCTTGATAGAGGATTGCTGCTTACAAGGAAGCTATTAAACCAAGAGTTCCAAATGGTGAAGTTGAAATCATCCGTTCGTAAATTTGACGCCATCACGAGTTGGATGACCGTTATGGAATAACCGTTTCACAGATGATATCGGATATGTTCCTTATGTCGTAACTACAATACCCTTCCCTTTTCACGAATGTGACCCACCGAATTAGACTATTTACCGGATTTGTAATAACATAAGCAACACGACGGGTGCCGCATGTGGAGCAGGATCTGCTTACCCTTCCGGAGCACCTGAGATCACCCCCAGTTTTTGGTGGGGTTCGTGTTGCTTAGTCTTTAGTTTTCTATGTTGTGTCATCTGTACTATTATTTGTCTGTTTGTCTTTTTATTTTTGGCCATGGCGTTGTCAGTTTGTTTTCGATCTATGAGTTTGACTGTTCCTCTGGTATCTTTCGTCCCTCTTTCGTATAAATAATAGTATTTCTAGTAAATGAATTCTAGCCTGATACAGTCATTTTAATCTTAACATCATCTGAAAATTCTGAAGAATAAATTATTCAGTCAAGTTCAGTCTTATAGTCAAAAGTAAAATGACAAAAATAACGAACTTCAAGAAAAACTCAAAACGGAGAGTCCTATATCAAATGGCAAAATCAAATGCTCAAGCACATTACACGAATGCGAAAAGAACTATCATGTTCCTGACTTGGTACAAGCATCACCTTATGTAGAAAATGGAGGATTAAACTTGGTTTTATAGCTTGCTAAACCTCTCACTTGTATGGAAGTCGCATATAATTCCATTATATTGACAACAATGTGTGAGCAAAACAAACAGACATAACAGATAGAAATATCAAAAATTGATCTTACAACGTATTATCTAAATATGAGTTACAATAATGAATGTACCGATGACAGGACAATGACAGAACCAAATGAAAAATGCTAATTACCTTTTTATTTCTAAAAGGAATTATCTCATATTTGAAATATAATAAGATTTCATCATTTAATACATAAATGAAAGAAAAAAAAAACGAAAAAAAATATTAAAAGCTTGCGAAAACATGACCTGTACAACGTTAACAATGACCTGACCAACATCGACAATGACAGGACCAAATGAAAATGCTAATAACTTTTTTGTTTCTCAAAGGATTGTCAAGGCAAGACAATTAGAAGATGTATGATTGCCAATGAGACGACTCTCCATGCAAGACCAATTGTAAACAATAAGTCACAGTACAGCCTTCAACATGGAACCTAGGCCAGCACTGCAAATTAAGCTAAAGAAGGCACTAAAATGACCAAAATGAAACAATTATAAATAAAAGAAGGATGATTTTGCAGAATTTGTGAGTGATTTTGATGTGTATACACAGTGATTTAACTCTTCATATAACATGACCTCTTTAAAAACTTTGGAAATCTCTCTTATAAAAATAAGGAGATGTGGTATGATTGCCAATGAGACAACTATCCACCAAAGTTCAAATGAAGTGGATGTAAGCTTGTTTTCTATGTATCATTCTTTAGGAAATATTAAAAAAAATAACTTTAAATAATCTTGATTGGTAGATATAAGTGCAAAACTTACAGTATGGAATGAAAAACTTAGTGTATAGAATTGAAAACCAACGCGTTAGTTTTTCATACCGTATGAATTACGAATCAACGCGTTAGTTTTTACAACCAACGCGTTGAAAGTAAAAATCAACGCGTTGAATGTGAAAACCAACGCGTTCAAAGTAAAAACCCAACGCGTTGAAAGTGAAAACCAACGCGTTGAAAGTGAAAACCAGCGCGTTCATAGTAAAAACTAACGCGTTCAAAATTTCATACGGTATGTTCATACCGCCAATGACACGAACGGCCACTCATATAGCTCAGTCATAATCTAATTCGGTGGTTTTTTTTGGAGCTTAAAGTAAATATATATTAAGATGTACGTTTATAAGATATAAGATATATGTTCTGAATACGTTTTCAAACCTGATCGATGCAAAGGTATCAATAAATAAATATTATTATTTCGCTTAAACAAAATGCCTGAAACATCCAAATCTCTGTTGTCGTGTTATCATGTTATCAAGCCAGTAAATTTCTATCTGTAAGACAAAGACCAAGATTTGTGAAATTATTTGATGTAAGTTTTAGAGCCAATTTAATTGGATGTATGCTAACAGCATGTAGCAAATCAATCCGATATAGGAAATTTAGATGTTCAAAGACCTGACACAATGTCAAGGTGTTATATATCTGCCGGAATTTTAGATATGAAACAACGATTATAATAAAGGGGCAATCAAAATCGTAAGTCAAATTAAAACATAAAAGAAACAACAAATAACGACAATTCAAACACTTATAACAATAAGCTTCACAGAAAAGTAAAGATCTTGGAGAGTAAACAGTTATGGCTCTAGTGGCATCCATTATCAAAGCAAATAATGTATTGTATCAATTGAAACATATGGCTTATAAAAATAAGGAGATGAGGTATGATTGCCAATGAGACAACTATACACCAAAGTTCAAATAAAGTGGATGTAAGCAATTATAGGCACCCGTAAGGCGTCAATGAGAAAAACCAATACCGTATAGTCGGTTATAAAAGGCCCCGACGTGAAAAGTATGAAACAATTCAATTGAGAAAACTAACGGCTAATTTATAACAAAACAATTAACGAAAAACAAATATGACAGACTTGAACCAACGACAACTACAGGCTCCTGACTTGGGACAGGCACATAAAGAATGTGGCGGGGTTAAACATGTTTGTGAGCGCGCAACCCTCCCCCTAACCTGGGACAGTGATATAACAGCACAACATAAGAAAAAACTATTAAAATCAGTTGAAAAAGGCTTAACTCATCAGATCGATACAAAGAAAAAAAACATCAAAAATAAACACAGATCGGACATGGCAGGGTATTTATCCATCCCTCATCCCTAACAACAAAAATGAAACTAAGTACAGATCTGAGAGTACTTGCAGTTACTGACAACTAGTTCAAAGCCAATAACAACTAATAAAAAAATCATGTATCTAAGACTAAATTATCAATCAGTACACAACCAACATCCAATGGATTTAGTGTAAAGACGTCATAACAGTCAGAGAAAAACATGACCTTGTGCAATACCAAAATTAAGGATCGACAGATTGTAGTACCGTTAAAGTGCATATGTGTATAACAAAACTACTAGTATGATTTTAATTTACTGATAACAAAATCAATATTTATTCTAATAAAAACAATATTCAAATATCTAATTACAGTGTTGAACAGCGTTAACTACTGTTGCCTTTATTAAATTTGTAACCTTTTAGAATAAGTTTATTTAAAGGATTGATAAGTTTATCCGGATCGTATATAAATTTCTGGGCTCGGTTAACAACATCACCGTAAAATTTAGAATGTGCTATTTCGTCTGAAATAAGTTTTTTACAGATACAGCCAAACTTGTCCCATTTTGAGATTTATTCGCTATTTAGTGTATTAAATTGCTGCTCTCTAATAGGGCTATTCATCTGCATCAATACTTGATCTTTTCTAATGCATATTTCAAAATTACTTAGAGTGTTAATCGAGATATGGCTTACTTCATGTTCTTTCAAATAATTTCAGTAACATATCTTTACTTGATAATTTGTACGAATATTTTGTAAATAACAGTTAATGTCTGAACAGTAATCATTCAATGTAAAGTTAACAACAGCATACCCATAGTGTTTGTAAGTGCGTATGATTTTGTTTTAATGGTTTTTTTAAAATTTATTTTCAGTAATCTGCCATGTGTTAACTACTAATTTATGTTTTTGGTGCACTAATTAAGGATGTACACCTCTGAGGAGCCAAACAATTCTAGAATTAAACTTTTTTTCTAAACCTGGTTTTTGGGTTTATATGATTGTAAGAAAGTAATTGATGAAGATAAATTCATATGGTGGTGCGCTTCTTATTTTGCTACAGCCATTTGAAAGTAACCCATTTATTATTATTTTTCATCAAATTTTACCCATTTTTGAGCTATTATCATGAAAAAAATCACAGTTTCACAAGTTAACTTTTTTTCATACTTTCACTTAAGATGAAGTGGACCAATCTGAATAAATCTAACTTAAAAAAACTATAGGTTGGTGTTAATATTAGAAAGTTTTATAACATTTTGTTGTCAATTTTGTCAATTTGGGATTTTTCTCATTATTTTGGAACAAAAAGCATATTATTTCAGCTTCTATGTTTATAAATGATTGAAAAAATACATATCTAAGAATTCTGAAAAGAAAAAAATTGATATGGGATGTACATATTTTTGGTAAATCATTTCTTTGTACCCTCACCCATTTTCACAACATTTTGACTGATGAAACTGACCGGATTGGTCATAAAATTTGAAAACTTTATTGCCCGAATACTACTTACTGTAAGAACACAATTTTTTCACAGAGTTTAGTTTGATTATAATATTTTTTAAATTCATTGATATTTTCCACTTGTATCATATGTTTGGGAAATAGTTCCTGAACGAGAATTCAACGAGACTGAAACGTCAGAAGAATACATCATTAAGACAAGTAGGTGGTTATCTGTGTTCATCGATAATACGAACAAGATAAGAAAAGAATGATTATCATGGAAAAACATTACATGCATAATTAAGATAAATGACACAATGGAAAAGCCTCCGTACTCATGTTATCTTTTAAACAGACCAGTGCTTATCCATTGTATTACCCTTATTTCATTAACTTGGCATTTGCAACAGACACAAAACTGCTACATCATAGTTGTGAGAATAAATGATTAAATCATTAGTACACAAGTAATACAGACTGATTCTATCAACATCTATTCGTGGTCTTAGATTTCAAGGTACCAGAATACACGTCTGACCCGTAAATTTACCGATTATGACATTTTCCTGATTTTGACTTCTATATTTAATATGGATTCGCATGACAATTGATACATACATTGCTTACCCTGTCGAAGCACCTTATCTGAATCCTTTTTGAGTTTATGTAATTTCCTCGGTTAATGTTTTTATCTTGATTTGTATATTTTGTTTTTGGATTTACGAGATATGAACATCGGTCAATTACGATTGACTACAATTTATCAAGTCACACACTTTTAACGATTGAACAAGTAATAGCTAAATATGACTGTCTATGTTAAAATAAAAATTAGAAGATGTGGTGTGATTGCCATTGAGACAACCCTCCACAACAGACAATATGATGTAAAAGTTAACAACTATAGGTCATCGCCTTTTTCAATAAGCAAAACCGATACCACATAGTAGGCTATAAAAGGCCCCAAAATGAAAAATGTGAAACAACTAACTCAAACGAGAAACATAACTGCCTGACTTATATACAAAACAATAAATGAAAAACAAATATACACATACAGCAACAAACGACAACCACTAAAGTACAGGTTTCTGACTTGGAACAGGCATATGTAGAATGTGGCGGTGTTAGAAATGTTTGCTGGCGCTATATCCCATAACCTGGGACAGTGTTGTACATGTAATAGTACAACATTAGAAAATACTATAAAAATCAGTTAAAAGGGCTGAACCCATCAGTTCGATAAAAAGCACAAAAAACTAAAAAAAAAAAAAACCCCAGAAAAGTCTTCTTATTTCTATATAGTACAGATCTGTGTGTATTCGCAGTTACGACAGACAAGCTAGTTCAAAACCAATAACAACTAATTAAATTTTATGCATCTAAGACTAATCAGAATACACCAAAAATCCAATGGATTAAATGTGAGGACGCCATTTCAAGTCAGAGATAAACATGACCTTGGGCAAGCCAAACTATAGGTATCGACAGATTTTAGGACCGTGACTGTACATATGTGTATATCAATATTTATGTAGTTGGGCTTTCATCTATTGATAACAAATCAATATTTATACATATGAAAACAGTATTCAGAGATATTATTACAGTGTTAAATTGGTAACCTTTTAAGGTAGGTTTATCTAAAGGATCGATAAGTTTACCCAGATCATATCTAAACTTTTATGCTCGGTAAACGACATCATCGGAAAATTGAGGATGTGCTATCAATTTGGTTATAAGTTTCTTACAGGTACAACCAAACTTCCAAACTAAATCTGTAAAGAATTTAGTAAAGGTTTTAAGTAATTTGTGGAGACGAAATCCTTGACAAAATAATTGACCAGTAGTACATAGATTACGTTCATTGAAATCCAAAACTTCACTACAGACACGGACATAGTCACCGTGTTGGGATATATAAACACCGTAAGATGGCACTGTCCAAAAAATAAAAAAAATAAAACAGAAGGGAACGAAATATTCATCCCTTTTGTCGTAATTTTTTGGCAGAGATTCCCGTTGAAACGGAAATATCTAAATCTGGAAAGGGCAGCTATTGCTGTTAATATTTGATTTTTTAGAGTAAGTTCCGTTGGGTAAATTTCGACAGTATATTCAGAGATGTCTTATTTATTCAGTGAAAAATATAATCAAGATAACGGTTGTTGAATTTATCAATTATATGGACTTTAGGCGGGCCTTTACTGAGTTTGGCCAACTAATAGGAATACCTGCAACCTGCCGTTAACCTTTATTACTGAAACGTGCATATATGTTGTCAAGGGGAAATTGTACAGCTCTAATCATATCATCTGACCTTAAGTTAGTATATCTAGCATATGTACCTTTCTCATTAGAAAAGAAGGCTTTATATGAGTTGCAGCAACTGTATTTGCAATAAGATTTTTCAAACAACCATTTAACTAAATATATAAAGTTTTGTTTGATAAGATTGTGTGGAAGTGTTTTGTAAAGAGTTGAAAAGGCAAAACTGTCAACCGAAATTAAAAGGACTATCAAAAGCGAGAAATTTATCTATAACATCCAAATAAGTTTTACACTAAAAAATAGTCATTTCCACTTTTTTCGTATGCTTTGTTACAAAAGTTTATGATAAGATCTTTGATAGTAGTTAAGGAACTAGTTAACTAGTAAATCAAGAAGAATTTATAATTTCATTCTGAAGAATATCCGTGTAGTATTTACGTTATACCACCACCACATCATTTGCTGCTGTATCGGCCGGTACGAACACAAACCGCTGTGCGAGTACTTGACTTTTATTTCTTATTTTAGAAATAGTCGTATTATGTACCCTTTAGTTCATTTCTAAATTATTTTCAAAATGTGATATCCACAATATTAATCCCTTTATTTCAATGAGAATCAAGAGATTCTTTTATCAAATTTATCACGTTTTTTACAATTTTTACAACATAGGATGAAAGAGCGTCTTTAATGACACTGTTTCCAATCTAGTTTAGATGGAGGACGATATTCTGGTTCTTTGTTCAAAGTGTTTAACCTCTCAAGTCTTGAACGATGGAAAGGTCCCTAGTAATAAAACATGGTCATAAGTATCATATCTTAATTTCGACCATTCACAGTCTCAAGTTGAAGGATCATTATTTTCTCTGATTATGCACTCTTCGGCCATTCACAGATCCAACATATGTAAAGGTTGATAAAATGCATTAACACTCATCTTCAAAAAGGTTTTATAAAGAAATGAAATACAACTATTCGAAATGACAGTGTTCGTCTTCCAAACATCTGTGTTTATCCTATTTCAGATTAAATTTTCTAAATTAAATGATTCGAAGATTAAAGTACGGGATACTTAATAGATATAATATATTCTTGGCATTGTCATTATAAAAATAAGGAGAAGTGGTATGAATTCCAATGAGACAACTATCTACCAAAGTTCAAATTATAAGCAACCATACGGCCTTCAACACTGAAAAAAACCCATACCGTATACTGTAAGCCAACTAATTTTCGCGACCTTCGCGAGAAGAAAAATAACGCGAATATAAATCGTCGCGAAAATTTAAAATCTGGATCTTTCCTTGTCTAACTACATCAAGTAAATTTGAAAATCGATAAATTAAATCGCCGCGATTTGGGATAGAAAAGGCTAAACGCGAAATAAAGTATCCTCGAAAATAAGTTGGTTTACAGTAGTCTGCGATAAAAAGGCCCCGACATGAAAAATATGAAACAATTCAATTGAGAAAACTAACGGCATCATTTATAAAAAAACAATTTACGAAAAACAAATATGGCAGACATGAACCAACGACAACCACTGAACAACAGGCTCCTGACTTGGGACCAGCACATATAGAAAGTGGCGAAGTTAAACATATTTTAAGGTGACAACCCTCCCCTAATCTGTCTTCTTAGCATTCAACCCGAAGTTTTTATTATTTATACATGTAGTTATGACTTTAACTTGTAGACAAAAACAAAATCAAGGGCAAAATTACCCTCTGTGAGATATGACGTCTGTCAACCCGTGCGATACATCACTAGGAAGCTGGCATAAGGTCTAATATTATGATATGAATTATCCATTAACTATAACGATATATATGATAATCAAATTGCAGGCCTATTGATTGGTTGAGATATTAACTAAGCCAGTTGTATATGTTGTTATAAAACATTCAGCTCTTAGCTATAAACAATTAACAAATAAACTCTTTTTTTATAGAATTAAAACAATTCAGAAGTAGTATTTATACTATCGATTTTCTTTTTCCATTATATATCATTTTCCTTTCATGATTATTTTTTGAAGTTTTTCTGTTGGTTTTGATACAGATTACTGTGATTGTAAGTTTAAAATATGTCTTTCTTCTCAAATTTTCATTTTAAATCTCAATCTACGCTGGACCTATTATGGTATAACTTTAGACTATTTTAGAGTTTAGGCACATATACTGCATTTATCCAAATGAATAACAAAAAGATATAGTAAATTATGCCTTATATATTGACCTACATAGAGCTAGAAACTGACAATGAAATTCGACTGAGAATTAAACTTTACAGCAAAAGAAATGATTTCAATTTTCCAATTTTGAACTTTTAATTTCTATATAGCAGCATTGCAGCAATGCTTGCATATGTATCTTCCAGTTGATGCGTTATTCCATGGCTTGTGTTTCCTACCATTTACTTGATAGAGGTTTATTGCTTACAAAGAATCAATTGCATCAAGGGTTCTAAGTGGTAAAAAAAGACCTCACCACTTCGGAAGTTTTATGGACGTCATTATGGTTTCGTTGACTGTTATGAAATATCTTTGTCAAATGTGGCTTAGGATATGTTCCACTCATCAAAACCACAATCCCGTCCTCATCTTATCGATTTAGATATTACAGAAAGCGAGTTATTACCAGATGTTTACTTGTTTGAGCAACACGCCGGGTGCCACATGTGAATAAAATTGAGAATGGAAAGGGGGGAATGCGTACCCATCCGGAGCATCTGAGTTCACCTCTAGTTTTTGGTGTGCTTCTAATTGCTCAGTCTTTAGTATTTTCAATTGTAGTTTTGTTATTGTTATTAGTCATTTAGTCGTTTTTTGTCCATGATATTGTCTTTTTTGTTGACCTATAATTTTGTATGCACACTTGAAATATTCTCTCTAATTTTTATTTGAATTCGTTATAAAATATATATATCAAAATTCATAATTTGCAAAGACTGCGTTTAATAATGTCACTAGCGTTTTCATGCCATATGGCAATCTTCATGCCATTCAGTACAAACATGACTACAAGTAACTGTGTAAAATTCCAATACATGCGATGTGAACCGGTTCATAACTTTAAACAGGGAAACATGGCGTATTTATTGGTTCAAATAAATTTTTAACATGATTTGAATAGTTGTAAGTACTCTTTTATCGGTACTCTGTGATTTTGTCTATTTGCCGTTTTGTTTCGTGTCGATCAACTGATTTTTTCAATTCGTAATTATGTTTTGATGCTAAACCACTGTCCTAGATTGAGGGAAGGTGATAGCGCTCATTAACATGTTTAACCCCGCCATATTCTCAATATGACCCTACGTTTGAGCTCCGTCGATATCGACATCTTATATAGATAAATGTAGAAGATAGACATTTGGAACATAATTTGTGGATATCGACTAGATCCTTGTTTTTACATTGTTAAATTGCAAAATTTAATGAAGAACAAAAACGTAACAATTTGAAATTAATAGAGAACATCATGAAGAATTTTTTTAAATGTCAATATGGAATAAATATTGAAACGATATCGACAATTTAAATAGGCAAACCAGGATAAACTAGATTGAATTTATGGACAACTGTATCAGATAAACAAAAGGCACAAATATAAGGCGGCGAAAAGACGGGCGATATCGTAAATGTATCCATAGTAAACTAACCAAGAGTAAATCATTACAAGGGAAATTTCAATATCGATTATCGATATCGACAACATTAACAGAAGATTGATGCGGAGAGAAGTTTTTTAATACGGACAACTTAACAAGCTTAACTAAAAGAAACGTACCAGGTATAAAATTTGGATGACAGCATCGAATCGATATCGACGGTTGATGTTATGTTTGCTGCGACACAAGCAGTAAAAGGTGCATATTGATATCGTTGTTATGATATCATAAATTCAACGATGTCTTTTTGAGGAAGAAGCTATAATGGGAAGCGCGTTTACTTATGTCAATAGCATTTATAGTAATTATCATGATTTCATTTTTTCATTATGATTTTTCTTTCAGAATTCTACTTAGATCCCATAATGTTGTTTTACATCATTATAGAAAATGTCCACATGATCGGAAATGGAAATATTGCATGTATTTAACTCCAACTATTGATAAGAAGATGCTTAAACTGATGTCAAAGCTGCTAAGAAATGTGATGGCCGTAAAGAAGCTAATTGGTATCATCTGATTCATATTATGAAGAAGAGCTATTGAAATATGCATTTGTTAACTCTTTCAAATAACGAAAACAGATGTGAAGTGGCCTTGGAATGCTGCAAATTATAAAAGAGGGTTTCGATCTACCATTTGTTATATTTATTGAATTTTATCTATTATCATAGAGTGGCCTTTAAAAAAGATTGTAAGCCAATTTTACAACGGAAATATTAATTGATTGGTAAGTAAAAATCAACGGAAATGGCAAAACCTTCCGAAATGAGGGATACTTTGATCCTGTGTCGGTTACAACAGTTTCTAAATAAGGTCAGCCATACCTTTTGTAAAAGAGAGGCGAAAGATACCAAAGGACAATAAAACTAATGGTTATGTTAATGTTTATTAAATATGACCAGGTTTGGGGTACCGTTAAAACAGTAGTAAAAGCTAGTAAGCTTATATCAGTGTGTGTTTTTGTACATGCTCTCAATAGCAGTAAGTTCTCTGTTAGCATAAGCTTGTACTATAATCGTTGTTCAGATCATTTCTTCTAGAGTATTGCCGTGTGTATTTGAAAACAAAATACATACAGATAAATAGTCTATCGCTTAGTACTGTAACAATATAATAGCATCATTCAATCCATTTTTGTCCAGTTTATTTCCCCCCAATTTTCCAACAAACAATCGACATACCCATGGGAACCTACAGTAATTCTCTTCTTGCCGATTTGTTTCTGTATTCATACGAGACTTCATACAGGGTATTATGAGGAAGAACAAAAAGAAGCAAGCATTATCCATTTACTTAACGTTCCTCTACATAATTTATGCCCGCTCACTAAATAATTCAAAGTTTGGTGACTATGATGCACGCACCTATCCCATCGAACCTGAAATAAATGATGCCACATGTACTGTTACATCCAGCAATTGACAATGAGGGTCGCTTGAGAACAAAACTTTACGACAAAAGAAATGATTTCAATTTCCAAAATGTAAGCTTTACAATTCTAGGTACTAGTAGCAACATTCCAGACAGCAGCGCATGAATAAGGATAGTATATATCTCTGAATTGATACGATACTACAAATCTTGCATTTCCGTTCACAATTTTTTTGAAAGAGAGTAGCTGGTTTCAAGGAAGCTATTAATACAGTATTTGCAAGCCGTGAAGTTGAAATCATACCGTTGAAAATTTTATGGACGCCGTCTCAAAATGTTTGACCGTTATAGAATATATGTTTCACAAATAACGACGGATATATGTCAACTTTCGTAACCACATCCCGTCCTCTTTTCTTCAATTGTGACAACCGAAATCGACTTATTACCGGGTATGTACTTACACGAGCAACAGGAGGGGTGTCACATATAGATCAGCATCTGCTTACCCTTCCGGAGTATCTAAGATCCTCCGGTTCCTGGTCGGGTTCGTGTTGTTTGTCTTCTTGTCGGTTTTCGTTTTTTCCTATGGCATTGTCAGTTGGTTTTAGACTTATGCATTTGAATATCCGTTTGTAATCTCCCGCCTCTCTTTTTCAACATTTATATTTTTTTGGTTAGAAGAGTCATTCCCAAAACTTTTTTTATAAGCATTTCATGTACATGATGTATGAATGATATGTTTTTACCTTTTCAGCTATCAACCAAAGATGAAATACTAGATCTTCCTTCACTTTATTGGATACCTAAATTACATAAGTACATAAGTGTCCTTACAAACAACGTTATATTGCTAGTTCTTCCTTGTGCTCCACGAAACCTCTTACTAAATTATAAACATCAACGATCAAAGCCGGGCTTCAAAGTTATTGTGTAACTACCTTATCTTAAGGCGATGTGAATCAGAGGTGGATACTAAAAAAATCCAAAGATCAGATACAGTTCATTCAATCTAAGATTTTGCAGTAGTATTAAAAAATCTTTACAAAAATATTCCCGAATCCAAACTAAAAGACAAATTAAAAGAATGGATCCTGCTTTGTTTCATAACAAAGAATGGTAAACGTAGATACAAGTATCTTGTCTTTGGTAGGGATAAATCGCAACACGATGGGTGTCACACGTGGAGTAGGATCTGCTTTCCCTTCCAGAGCACATGAGATAACACCTAGTTTTTAGTTGGGTTTGGTTACTCATTCTTTAGTTTTCTATGTAATGTTTTGAATACTGTAGTTTGTCTGTTGGTCTTTTTCTTTTTTAGCTATGGCGTTGTCAGTTTATTTTTGACTTATGAGTTTAAATGTCCCTTTGGTATTTTTCGCCTCTCTTGTAAACCATAACTCTGATTCAAACAAAAAAAAAATCTGACAATATCAAGATGCTTGACTTCTTGATTGACAACATATTTGTTACGTTTTGAGGACGTGATTTTTTAATCGGGATTCTAATGGGAACATACTGTGCTCCTCTTCTTGTCAATTTGTTCCTTTATTCTTATTAGGCTGAATTTATACCAAAGCTTCTGAGGAATAACAAAAAGAAGCAAGCATTATCCTTGAACTTCACTTTCCTCTATATAGATGATGTCAGCTCGCTATAATTCAAAGTTTGGTGAATATGTTGAACGCATCTATCCCATCGAACTTGAAATAAAGGATACAACAGATACAATAACGGTTGCCTTATATCTAAACTTACATCGAAAAATTGACAATTAGGGTCGGCTGAGAACTAAACGTTACGACAACAGAGATGAATTCAGCTTCCCAATTGTGAACTTTCTATTTCTATGTAGGTTGATCGTTATGCAAATGTAGACGGATATGATCCAATTGCCGTAACCACAAACCCTTTCCCTTTCCTCCGAACGTGACCTACCGAATAAGACTTATAACTGGATTTGATCTGAAATGAGCAACACGACGGGTGACACATTTGAAGTAGATTCTGCTTACCCTTCGGGAGCACATGAGATAACCTCTGGTTTTTGGTGGTATTTGTGTTGCTTAAACTTTAGTTTTCTATGTTGTGTATTGTATACCGTTGGGTTTTTTTTAATTCTTTTTCTTTTTTTGCAATGCCGTTCTAGATTTAATTTCGACTTATGAGGTTGAATGTCTATTTTGGTATCTTTTGCCTATCTTTATGCATTTTGATTCTTTAATAAAAATGTAATTTTTGATATTATAGTCCTCATGGATTCAAATTTGTCCGATTTATTTAGATGCTGCTGTTTCATTCTCATAATCAAACGTAAACATCATAAATGCTTGGTGACTTTTTCAATAACTGATAGATTCAACGCTCAAATAACTCTTAATACATTTTTTAAGAGTTATAGCCAGTATTCCAGGGATTCCCCTTTAAATCAGATAAAACAATAAAATCTTAAGTAAAAGATTAACTTAAACCATCCATTATGATTGAAAGCAAAAGACAAAACATATGTATAGATTCATTAATAATAATAGAAAGGAAGATAAACTTCCATGTTTCTAAAACTGAAAAATTGTTACTTAATTAAGATTGTGTCAGCTCAAAACACTCAATTTTAAAATTGGTATTTATTCATATAGACGATTACAGGCTGAAAACATTTAGATGGAACTTGCATCAAATTCTTTCTAGTAAATAACTACTTTTTTCAAAAGAAGACATTAACTGTGACGGGTGTAAACAAACTACCTTTTTATGAAGTAGTCATGTTTTAAAATTTCATTTTGATGAATATAAATAAGAAGATGCAGTTTTCACAAATTAGTTTGCGTTTCCTCCTCGAGGTTATCACCAGCCCAGTAGTTAGCACTTTAGTATTGACGGAAAATATCATTGATAGGTTCACTTTCTGTAAATCTACTGTAAATAAAACATGAATTATTCACAATAAGCGCTTAAACTTCTTTTGCGATTTGGCCATTAGACTTTTTTTTAATTTGAGCGCCACTGATGAGTTTGCTGAAGACAGAACGGGCGTCAGGCGTACACAATTATCTGGTATCTTCGATGAATTTTAACAACCACTTGGTTAATGCCTCTGCCGTTGGACGTTCCGTTCCCAAGGTTATCACCAGCCAAGAAGTCAGCACTTTTGTGATGACATGAAATATCCTTATTTGTTCATTTCTGTAAATATACTTTATATGAAACGTTGAATTATTCGAAACACTAAGGTTTTTCTTCCCCCCAGGTATAAATTGCCATAGCCGTATTTTCACATCTTTCCGGAATGTTTGGTTTCTAAAGCTCTTTAACTTTGTATTAGATGTGGAATTTACAACTGTTTGTATTGGAGCCCCACTGATAAGTCTGGTGTAGAAGAAACGCGCACATGGCGTAAAACATTATAAGCCTGGTATACTTGATGAGTTTTTGTTTGAACTGTTTCTCGGAAGATTTAAAAAAATTGGACAGTCAGAATCAAAGATTGTCTCAGATTAGCTTTAATTGCAACCAATTGAGTCTTTTATGTGGAGAGGTAACATGCATTATTCCTAGCAAGTTAGACTGTATTGACCTTAATTTTCACAGGAATGAAAATGTGATTTTTCATTTGCATATGGTTTACATACAGCTATTGGAACTATTTATCAACAATGTTATATGTTTATCACCGGAACATTATCAAATGAGAATTAAGGTATCCAAATAAACATTTCTGCAAAGTTAAAAAACATTTTATCTTGTAGTTTCAGAGACATATCTTTAAATTGATCTTGGGATTTAGCAGCCAAAACTGTGTAAATAGATATAAGAAGATGTGGTATGAGTGCCAATGAGACAACTCTCCATCCAAGTCAAAATTTATAAAAGTAAACCATTATAGGTCACAGTACGGTCTTCAACACGGAGCCTTGGCGCACACCGAACAGTAAGCTATAAAGGGATATAAACATACATCACAATTGACTTCAAAATTCAAGCAAACATACAAATAAGTCTAGCAAAGACGTCAACAAAACAGTATTGAAGTTAATAATAGATTTGATACAGAAGCCAACAAAATATTGTAGATTAAAATTGATTGACTAAGACGCAGATAAAAAAGATTGTGTAGTTGATAGTACATGCCGTTTATATTATAAACAATCTAGATAAAGTACAAAATAAGTAAAATATAAACTCAAAGGTAAACAAAACGGAAACAACACTGTTGCGTCCGAATCGTACCTCAGGACATATCTTCATCAGGAACGCAGGAAGTCAAAAACCCGACAGCGGGATGCATAGATACAGAGTCACGTCAAAAGTCATACGACAAAAAGAAACTAAATAGAACGAAGACAAATAAAAGGAAAACTGTAAAGTAAATAAAAAGATACATAACTTAAGCTCTTAGAATCTATAACTCAGGATCAACTTGTATTATTTGTAAAGTAGACGCTGAATATCTATTAGGGTCTTGGTACTTTCAGATGATTTTTTTTAGAAAAAGGACAAGACGTATTTTGATAAAACCCTGGCATATTAATTTTTTGCGCATACACCGATGACGTTTTAAAAAGTCTGAGTAGTAGCTACAAGCTCTTGAATGTCGTATGAATTGAGAATTTTATACTCATACCACGGATGAAGTTGGTATATTGCTTTTAAGGTGAGGAAAATTTATGATTTCAAAATTGAAATCGTCTTGTTTGACATTGTTCTGGTACTAAGATGACCGCCGTTGTCAAATTCAAGTTAAATATAAATAGAAGATGTGGTATGATTGCCAATGAGACAACTCTCCACAATAGACTAAACGACACAGAAATTAACAACTATATGTCACCGTACGGCCTTTAACAATGAGAAAAGCCCATACCGAATAGTCAGCTATAAAAGGCCCCGAAATGACAAATGTAAAACAATTCAAACGAGAAAACTAACGGCCTAATTTATGTACAAAATAATGCACGAAAACAAATATGTAACACAGCAACAAACGACAAACACTGAATTACAGGTTCCTGACTTGGGACAGGCACATACAGAATGTAGCGGGGTTAAACAAGTTTATTTGCGCCAAACCCTCCCCCTAACCTTGGACAGTGGCGTAACGGCTCATCATAAAAATAAACTATGCAAAACAATAAACAAAAAATGTCAAATGTCTAGAAATGAGGTGGGGGAAGCTGTATCTTTTATTTCTCAAATCTCTGGTTCAGGAGGATATACTAATGGAACCCAATAAGAAATATTTGGATTGTTAATCGAGAGAACATTATCAATATAGGTCAGACAGGAGATGTGCAAAGTTGATTTCCATAGTAATACCGACAAATTGTTGATCTTGTTGTCCCCTTACCCTTTTGTTCTAAAAAAAAGCAGCAGTCTTTATGACCGTCTGTCCTGACAGGCTTTCCATCTAATATAATTGTTGTCCCAAAAACTCTTTTGTGCTTAGATTAAGATGTCAGGACCGTCGCAGATCGCACAAGGTTATTGTTTCCAAAGGTAAGCTCTTCTATTACACCAGGTTTCTATGTTGTACGTGGAGAATTATCGTCGTATATTTGAACTACATCACCTAGTTTAACATTTTGATTGTTATTTCCAGACACTCGGTGAAATTCTCGTAAAGATGTCAACTATCTGTGTTTCCTTCTTGCCAAGAATTGTTCAATAAGACGGAATCTCCTTTTTAATTGGTCATTTATAGTTCCATGATTGTTTGTTAAATCGGCACTACAACAGTCTCTATAATCTGTATATAACGGATAAAAAAGATGCGATGGGGTAAGCGGCTCTGGATCCGCAATGTCCGACGATATATAGGTAAGCAGTCTATTGTTAAGGTTAGCTTCAATATCCACAACTAATGTCTGAAACAGCGGTAAATCTATACATGCTCGTCCAAGAATTTTTTAATGAAATTTCTTAGTGAATCCAACCAGTCTTTCCCAAAATCCGCCATACCATGGGGCACGTTGTGGTATGAATTTCCATGTAGTTCCAAATTTGCTTAATTTGTCATGGAAAGTTTTAAGTCCGTTAACTTCCGTATTACCGCCGAGGCGCCAACAAATGTTGTAGCATTATCTGATATCATAACCCTGGGTATCGATTTCCTGCTTATGAATCTACGAAAAGCTAGCATGAGCGATTTTTCAGTCATATCTGGAACTATTTCAAGATGAATAGCTCGAGTATTAGCACATGTAAACAAGCATATATACACTTTTAGAAGTAGTCCATTGTTTCCTTTGATGATCTGGTGCTCTCCTAGGCAACTCCTGTTTCTTTTTGACAACTTACTCATTTTCGAATTATGCATCCAACTTCTTGTCGTGCTGACGGTATTCAATATTTCCGCCTAAAATAAGTTACGGTAGCTCCTATGCCGGAATGTAAATTTTCAACGTGAATGTCATTAATCAGTCACTTTGTAAGTCTATGCTATGGTGGTATTAAATACGGGAATTTCGCATTCTCTGGAAGTGGTGCATTATTAATGCTTCCACCACATGGTATTAATCCGTCTTTGTCCAAATACAATCATAATAGACTATTTTCATATTACCGAATTTTGACTCCGGATTTTATAATTTTTCGACAGGTTACATTCTCTGTAGTAGGACATCCTGGTACTCGGTCAAGTAAGAGCAACGTAAAGAAGTAAAATAAACTTTCAATTGGTACAATTTTGGGAAAAAATAATTGTTTTACGTTTTCTATACACGACAAAATCATCAGAAAACAGTAAACTTTCCCCCCAAATTGCACCGATTATATATTTGATTTTACTTCTTTGGGTTGCTCTTAGTTGACCGAGTACCAGGATGTTCTACCACAAATTAGATAACATGTCGAAAAATTACATAATCCGGAGTCAAAAGTCGGTAATATGAAAATGGTCTATTGATATATCAAGCTATGCGTTAACTTTGAGCATAAGCTTTCAAAAACATCAATGTGTCTTTAGTGTTGCACAGCTTCAATCAACTTCATTGTTGCATTATTTATCTCATTTGGTGTCAGATATGTTGTGGTCCGTCTACTATTATCAGAAACTCGATTACGAAATTTCTGTACGTAAGCTAAGATACGCGCATATTTGTTGAATGAGTTGTATTTATCGACATTGATTACGTTCAATACGTTGTATTTCGTCCGTATAAGGCCATCTGGCGTTTCTTGATTTTTATCGTACTTACTAATTGTGGTCATAACGTTACTGTCAATTTCAAATTCATTCGGTCATTGTTTCTCGTCTGTCAACCAGTCAGGACCATGCATCCATAGTTTACTATTTTTCAATTGTTCATACGATATGCCACGTTATAATAAATCAGCAGGGTTGTGTTGTGTAGGGCAATATTCCCAGCTATGTTCACCTGTTAGCTCTTTGATTTCGGAAACTCTGTTTGCTTTAAAGTTTTAAGTTGCTCCCTTGAACATGTTGAAGATATCCAGTGTAGAATTTTTTGACTGTCGCTCCATAGTACACACTTTTTAACGTTTCGTAAACTTGACATTATATGTGACGCTAATAGGCCTCCTACTAATGCTGCCAAAAGTTCAAGTTGCGGTATGGTCAAATTTCTAGCCATTTTTAGCCATGACAAACTTAGATTCTTTCCCTTTCACCAAGAACGCAAAAGCGCCGTACGCTACTGTGCTTGAATCGGTGAATACATGTAAGGTAGGTTCATCGGTAGTGTCCATATTTTCAAAATAACGAGTAAATCTTTGACTTGTCGTAAAATCTGCGGCATGAACGTACTGTATTATCGGGTGCGGGTAGAGCTAACAAAGTCTGCATGTACGTGTGCGTGACTTTGTGAGTTTGTCCGAATCGTTGGTGTAATAAATCTATAGCTTTACTGTAGTTTAAATTTGTAAGTGCAAAACCCGAAACTGTAGTCAAAGCCTCGTTTTGAAGTGATTTTAAGTAGTTGAATTTCTATGCGTCTGTTAATGAGGGATTGCCATTGATTGCTTTGTCGTAAGATTCCCAGAATGCTTGCCAATTGAGAATGTTGCCGTCGAATTTTGAAAGTTCTAACTTGGGTAATTTGTGAAATTGGTTACTGCTGTTTGACATATGAGGAGCGTACATATGTTGCAAATTGAACGATGCTGTTCAGTTTCTATTGACATCAAAACTCCTATCTAAAGGGTTAAGAGAACTAAGTGAATATCTAGAACGGGCGGTTGTTACTAGAAATTTACGCATCTTGCATATTTTCGTCTCTAAAGTTATAGCATACTCGTCTTAATCAGATATCTCC